TCCCACTTAGATATTAATCCTTGCTACGAGTAAATAGTCACTTGTAAAGATCTTACTAACCAAGTAATAATATATAGATAGGTATCTCTCCTAGTTGGGATATCTCCCTCCCAGACAGTTGCTTAAAAAAGTGTTCTACAGTGAAGTAAATAGTAGCAATCTCATATTGTATATACAGGAGAGAGGATACCAGGTGAGGAATACAAAGACAATTGTGTCTTGCCTACAGTCCCTGTTGGTGGGAGTGTCATGGTCTGGGCCTGCATGAGTGCTGCTGGCACTGGGGAGCTACAGTTCATTGAGGGAACCATGAATGCCATCATGTACTGTGACATATTGAAGCAGAGCATGATCCCCTCCCTTCGGAGACTGGGCCGCAGGGCAGTATTCCAACATGATAACGACCCCAAACACATCTCCAAGATGACCACTGCCTTGCTAAATAAGCTGAAGGCCAAGCATGTCTCCAGACCTAAACCATATTGAGCATCTGTGGGGCATCAAACGGAAAGTGGGGGAGAGCAAGGTCTCTAACATCCACCAGCTCCGTGATGTCACCATGGAGGAGTGGAAGAGGACTCCAGTGGCAACCTGTGAAGCTCTGGTGAACTCCATGCCCATGAGGGTTATGGCAGTGCTGGAAAATAATGGTGGCCACACAAAATATTGACACTTTGGACCCAATTTGGACATTTCCACTTAGGGGTGTACTCACTTTTGTTGCCAACGGTTTAGACATTAATGGCTGTAAGTTGAGTTATTTTGAGGGGATAGCAAATTTACACTGTTATACAGGCTGTACACACTACTTTACATTGTAGCAGAGTGTCATTTATTCAGTGTTGTCACACGAAAAGATATAATAAGTGAGTACATCCATAAGTGGAAATTTACAAAAATGTGAAGGATGTACTCACTGTTGTGAGATACTGTAGAATAAGGGATCTGCCAAAAATAGTATGATAATAGTAGGTATTAAAAAAAGATACATACAGGCTATACAATAATGTATCAGATATAATAGTGCCCCAGACAATGTCCTTTTCTTGTCACAAATTCTCACAAATCTCCTTAATAGAATACTTGATAGTAGAACACAATGTAAAAGAGAGCAGCGATACAGAAAAGTCAATAGCGCAGTATGCCAATTACTAGGGAGGACACACGGCACATAGGTTCAAATGCCAACTCACATCTGGTGGAGCTTAAATCAGCTGTAGATAAAAACCGTATACAGTGGTATAAATCCCCACTTGTGGATATCCCTCTCCTGGTAACAATGCTTAGCGACAAAGTAATGATGAGGTAAACCACATGGGACAAAAGAAGGTACAATAGTGCTCTTTGTATGGATATTGGTATAAAAGGTAATTAAAATTCTAAAATTCTACTTACATTTGTGAGAACAGACAACCTACTCTATGTATCACGCATAGGTGGAATAATCCCCTCCAAGGATTCTTTGGAATGGTTGTCCCAGGTATCACAAGTAGTGAAGATAAGTGCCATGTAGTATGTTGAGTTCAAAAGATTTAAAACACAATAAAAAAAGTATATGGCAAACACCAATAATTAGGGTAGCAAAACAAACTTTTAATTAGTGAAAAACAGTAAAATCAATAGTACTGTGTTTCTGCATGTGTCAATGTTTGTATGTGTGTCTGTATCTGTATGTGTGTAAGTGTTTGTATCTGTGTGTATGTATACCTGTAGGTGTGTCAGTATTTGTATGTGTGTCTGTACATCTGTATGGTCAGTATTTGTATCTGTGTGTCCATCTGTATGTGTGTAAGTGTGTGTATCTGTATATGTGTAATTTGTGCATTTGTATGTGCATAGGTGTGTGTGTCTGTCAGTGTGTGTGTATCTGTGTGTCTATGTATCTGCATGTGTTTCTGTGTGTGTATGTCTGTAACGGTGTGCTTGTACATCAGAATGTGTGTATATCTATGTATCTGCATGTGTTTCAGTATGTGTGTCTGTGCAACTGTATATGTGTTAGTGTTTGCATCTGTGTGCCTGTGTATCTGCATGTGTGGTAGTGTTTGTATATCTGTATCTGCATGTGTGGCAGTATGTGCATCTATTGTCTCTACATCTGTATGTGTGTCAGTGTGCATTGCATGTGTGGCATTGTTTGTATCTGTGTGCCTGTACATCTGTATGTGTGTCTGTGTGTGCATCTGTGTGCGTCTGTTTCTTTATGTGTGTCTATATAGCCGCATGCGTTTCAGTGTGTATATGTCTGTATCTGTGTATTTGTACATCTGTATGTTTCTATATCTGTGTATCTGCTTGTGTTTCAGTATACTTATCAGTGTGTCTGTGTATCTGTATGTGTGTCAGTGTGTGCATCTGAATGTCTGTGTGTTTATATGTATATTGCATGTGTGGCAGTGTTTGTATCTGTGTGTCTGTACATCTATATGTGAGTTTGCTTGTGTATCTGCCTGGTGTATGGGAGAAGCAGGTGAACCTGGGGCAGAGAAAAAATGGAGATTGGGCAGAGAAAAAGGTATGCATTTGAAATAACAGCAACTATATTAATAACTAACATTTTGCTAATAGGAGGGGTACAGTTTGTGGAAATGGGCTGCCGAGGGGTACTCAAGTAAAAAAAAAAAAGGTTGGCAACCACTGGTTTAGTAGATTGGCCACCAGGCTGATCACTGTGAGAGCCAAAATGCGATCATATTGTTTTAACTGCTTCACTAGCAAAAAGATTTTGTTTGAAAAAAATATTACCATGTATTTGTAACATGGGATGCATATTTAGCAAATAAATGTATAATAAAATATATGTGTTTAGATTTGTTTTTCACACACATTTTTAAATTGTGTATTGTTTTTATAAATGTGTTAATCGTTTATGTAATTTTTTGGAGAATAAAAAAGACTATGCAGTGTCTATGCAGTGATCCATGAAGCTTCCTTCACTGTTTGGTAGGGTGGGGGTTGCATTGTCATTTTCAGCTCATTTGCAGACATTAAATACATAATAATTGATGCTGGCAAAGAAATTACTTTATAAATCAGTAAACATTCCTGGACTGTAAAGTATTACCTTTAATCCATCAGCAAAACAGCCACCTTGCTGCAGATTTGTTCAGCCTCTTGGGGGAGCATCCCAATCCTTCTGATAGAAAAATATACTTTTCCCCAAAAATATCTGTTTATTATTAACTTCAATAGTATTGGTATCAGAAGACAGTGAAAGTGGACAAAATATATAAAATGGGTAATTATCTTAAAATGAAAAAAAATATTTAGAATAGCAAGTATAGGACCACTAAAATCACTCACACACCACTTCATTGAGATGAAGTGATCTCAGAGTAGTGGTCCTGTAGTTTGAACCCTCTAACATAAAATGTTGTTTTGTAAAGGGTTAAGAACGCCTCTAGTAGCTGTCTTTATCTCCTTATCCAAGTAATATTTGGTTCTACAATCAAAAGGCTGTAACTGACTGACGAGCGAGCACCTGAAGGACTAGGGATAGATGTTGAAGCATTAAGCATTAAGCATGTGCCTGGGGAACATTTTCAGTTCGGTTCGGCATTCCGAAATTCGGGACTTTGGCAATTCGGGACTTCGACACTTCGGAACTTCGGCATTTTGGAATTTCGGGACTTCGGGACTTCTCTTGCAGCTGCTTAGTAGATAACTCCCTAATTCCCACGGTATTAGGGAGTTATCTACCAAAAGACTGAAAGACCTAAATTGGTCTTTCAGTCAAATTTACTAATACTAAGTAAAAATTACTTAGTATTAGTAAATTTTGCCCCTACTCGCTATACCGCAAGTAGGGGCATGTCTAGTAAACAGTGAGCAGCCTGTGGCTGCTCACTGTTAAAAAAATAAAAAATAGGGTCCCCCCTTCCGAGCCCCCACCCACGACGCGTGATTGGGGAATTTTAAACTAATTGTCCCCCCCCCGCCCCACCCCTGAGCGGCGGGTGGTCGCCCTAAAGTAAAATGATGGGGGGACCTATTGTCCTCCCCCCGGCCCCCACCCCTGAGCGGTGGGTTGGAGCCCTAAATACTAATAAGCGGGGGGGACCTAATGTCCTCTCCTCTGGCCCCCACCCCTGAGCAGCGGGTGGGGGCCCTACAGTAAAATAAGGGGGGAACCGAATGTCCTCCCCCCTGGCCCCAATCCCTGAGCGGTGGGTGGGGGCCCTACAGTAAAATAATGGGGGAACCTAATGCCCTCCCCCCTTGCCCCCACCCCTGAGAAGTAGGTGGGGGACTCTTGAAATATGTTAATTTGTAATTAGTTGTCATTAACAATGAACCTTTTGCAATAATCCTAATCATACAAAAAAAAAAGGGGGGGGGGAGGATAACACAAAAACACCCAGGTGGCACATACAGCTTATTCAGTTTAATTTATCAAATAGTTGCTTTAAAACCTTAATTATACTTCTATTAGGCAAACAATGATCATTAATATACAACATTTTCAATAACACCATTTCGTCAAGTAACCCCAAGCATAAACCTCATATCAATTTTAATGTTCTCTTATTAACTTCCCATAACTTTCTAGCTATAAATCAAACAAAAATTCACCTTCATTGGATAAGGTGCATTATGTTAATTTCAAGCCATCTACCACATCCATTAATTTTTCCAATTTTCTTTTAATCCCAATCTACCATTATCCAATTTATTTAGATATCTGTTAATACCTTTCTCCTATATTCTAACCAGTCTTGCCACTTTATTTCATGCCAGGATTCTCTTCCTTCTATTTTATTTGCTATTCTCTCATATTGGCACGTCTTATCTACTCTTGCTTGCACTTCCAAAATATTCGGTGGAGTTGTTTTTTTCCAATTTTGAGCAATACTTATTTTAGCAGCTAGCAGTAAATGTATAATTACTAAGTTGTTTTTTATTCGGCACCAGTCTTGATGTATAAGTAAAAGATAAAACTCAGGGGAATTAAGTATCGATGTACACATTAAAGTTTGAATTATTCATTTAATATTATTCCAAAATTGTGCAAGATTAGGGCACTACCAAAAAATATGTAGTAAGGTTCCCTTATTCCTTTGGCAACTCCAGCATATGTCAGAAGTGCCTTCATACATTTGTGCCACTTTTGCGGGAACTAAATACCAACGCATTCATATTTTACTATAGGCTTCCCAGTGGGTAAGACTATGTGATATTTGTTTAGTAACTTTTATAGCTTGATACCAATTAGATAAATCAAAAGTTTTTAACATGTCTCTTTCCCATAACAACATATATGGCAGCTTTTCTTCCTCATTTACATATAAAAGGGTTTTATAACACATTGATAGAGGTTTACTCGCCATATTAGGGCTTAATCTAATTGTGACACCTTATTTTCTAATAAAACGTTCTTAATGCTCAAATAAGAAAAAACCTCTTTATTCGAAAGGCAGAACTCTGCCTGCAATTTGGAGTAAGATTTGATACCTAACTCATCATATAACATATGCACTTTGCCAATTCCATTATCTTCCCAATTAGTCAATTTTAGGTCTTGTGTAAAATGCATTATTGCACGTAATGGTGCTAAACATAATAGCTTCACACCCTTTAGCAGTTTAGGTTCCCATATTGACCAATGATAAAGCATTCATTTAGTCGAAAGGAGCATATTTTTTCCTATTGTCATATTCATTAGCGTCCTCCAAAGAAGGCCTTCTATTGAATAAGGTTTAGCACAAGCTTGCTCCACTTTTAACCATAATGGTGGAGTTGATCGAAAAAGTACTGCCAAACCATAAGACATCATGGAGGCCTGATAATATTTAACTATATTAGGAATACCTAAACCGCTTGTAAATACGGAAGCTCTGTCAACCTATATGCAACAATTGGCGTTTTTTTCTTCCATATATACGAATTGAAAATATGTTGACATTTTTTAAATATATTTTTTGACACAGCTACAGGAATAGTGAGAAACAGATACAGTATATGAGGTAAAGCCATCATTTTTATTGTATATGCACTCTTTATATATAACTTCCTTTAAAAATACTATAATTCACCAGATGGGCGCAAAGAAACGGAAAGGCTGTAAATGAATATATGCAGATATTTACAAAACAAATTTTTTTTAAAATTCCTTAGAATAAAAATAATAAAAACCTACCTGCAGAGTTGAAACTGATTACCCAGAGAGCAGTACTGCCGGGGAATAGAAGAATAAAATGTAATCTTTTGGTGTAAATTTAGAGCTAAATGCCTTTACATCTCTCCATGTGCATAGATGAAATGTGAGTGACCCAACTACCATCTTAGAAATTGGCAAAGTAAGGGCTTCTCGCTAACGGCATGCGTCGAGCATCATGGTGGAGAACATGGTTCTAGATGGAAATGCAGATCCAACCCTGAGTGAGCTGCACCTGCGGAAAACTACTCCCTGAGGTCTCCAGGAGTTCCCAACTACAAGAATATGAGCTACATGTTCCTGGAGAGGGAGGCTGACCTCTCAGAAATAAGACCACTAAGAAAGGGGCAAGTGAGCATAAAAGAAAAAAATTAGAAACTAACCATCAGTCCTAAGGCTAAGAGGATAGGAAAAAGACTGGAGAACAGGGACTGTTGGGGATCCTATTATACCTTACCTCTTAATTGTTTTAATTGATGTTCCTGTCCTATTGGCTGGAGGGAGGAGCTAATCCATTAGTTAAATCCTGCCATGATTAGCCAGGAAATTCATTTTATCAAGCCATTTTGAAACAGCCCTTTAAGATCAGACTGGTGTGCATATAGTCTGTCTACCTTAAAAGCAATGTTCCATGGTTTGTTTCTATAGTGTTTGAAGTGACCACCTTTGATTAAATATACAGACTGCCTTCTTAAAAAAAACTGATTAAAACCCTCAAAATATAAAGAAAATTCTAGCCAGCTGCCAATGATTGTTTGCAAAGTGTCAATAGTAAAAATACATGGAATGTAAAAAGCCCCAGAACAGCATTATTGGAAAGCTTATCAGGGCGTGTCCATTGTCCACATCCTTCGAGTGTCAGTGTCAGCCAAGTGAATTTGTTCGTATGACAGCAAAAGGAATGATGAGTTTCCTGCTTAAAGTGGCAGTTTGTGTATAAAGCCAGGAGCTACTAGTTTTCAGCACATTCCATCCCTCTAAAAGTTGGCATGATGGAATTCATGTCAAAACTTCAAAGAGATTTCCAACAGGCCAAGACATCGATACTAGTCTAACCTACAGTCAATGAAACTAAGTATAATTGCAGTTCAACAGAACACAAATATACACCCGACTGATCGGGGTGTGTTTGGATTGTGAGCCAAGAATGTGAAAAAGTTGCTAAGTTATGCAATTCAGTTTCCCATTTGGAAAATATTTTTATTTGTTAAACGTTTAAATCTGTACATGTCTACACATTTGTAAAGTCTTTGTAAGGAAGATAACATTTACAAGAATACCATGTACAAATACTCTCATTTGAAAAACAAAATCTTTTTTTTTTTTTGATGCAATTTATACTTTAAGTGTCAGAGTTGAACAATTGTGTGATTAACCCCTCTGGCACTAATTGAGTTAACGCTGTAGTCTAAATGAGACATGGGGTGCATGCATGTGTAATTACCCAATGATTCTACAAAGAAAACCGAGCTAAAAAGAAAATTGGATTTCAAAATTAAATAAATACATTGCTTTTTATATTCCTTGTTATAGCAATAGTTTAAGGCAAACATTTCCTATCTCGTTTTTATAGTGAATGTGAGCAAAGTAGGCTGCTGCTGTATAGGAAGCTGTATGACAATTATGTCGACAAGTAATACGGAAAGTTTTTAGACTATCCCATCACTGTGAAAACTAGTTTTGACCTCCTGTTGAGGCATGAAGAGTGTGTACACCTTGAATGAAGACAGTGTCAATATTGCACAATCCTTTAATTTGTACAGACAGTTCATAGCACTTATTTACTTAATAAATTGTTAGGCTATGTCTGGCCAACACAAAGTAAATATTGATATACGTTATTACTAATTATGCCAAAAATGCTTGTTCGCTTTCATTTGTGACACATTCTTTGAGAGTAGACACTTTCTGAGGAAAGTTTAATATGTCACAAGTGATATGAATTCATCCAAAGAAAAAGCTAATCTTTTTAAAGCGACACTCCAGCATTTTTTATTTAAATAGAACTTTTCTTAATCTACTTTCATTATTAATCTTGTTTTCTTTCTTTTTTTGCAATAATATATTTGCTCTGTAAATTTACCCTTTCTGTACCTCTCTGTAAGGTTTTCCTTTTTTGTTTTTAAACCACCAGTGCCACAGCATGTTAAGTGATCATGATTTTGGTGAGAGCTCTTTGGCGTTATTTTTTTGTTTTGTTATTCCTAATAAATTTATTTTGTTACTTATTTATGTATTGTATTTATTGAGACTGTACAACTTGCAGCCTGTGGGTGCATGTAAGCCACAAAGCTCCTTTTGTGACCAATGCACTACCTGGCTTGTTCAGTGAAGAGAGTGCCTGGCTTTCCTGGAGGAAGTAACTTTCCCCCAGCATGGTGTACTCTTTGACTTATTACCCTGGGAGGGCACTCCTGGCACTATAACCTCTAGAACGTGCTGTAGTGGTTTCGGTGCTTGGCATGTTACTTTAACCCCTTAAGGACCAAACTTCTGGAATAAAAGGGAATCATGACATGTCAGACATGTCATGTGTCCTTAAGGGGTTAAGTTATCAAATGAAACTCTAAGATGGATGGATGGATGGACGAATGAAAACCAAAATAATCTTGCGTTGTGGTTCCATTAGCTTACAGGTGGCACAGTGTTTAAAATATGAATAAAAAAAGTAAAGATCCCTAATTACAAGAGGAAAAAGTTCTCTCCTCAGCCCTTGTGTGGGAGGCAAGTAGACGTAAAAAATATAGAGTTCCCCAGTGACCCTACAACATCCAATCAGTAAAGCAATACTGACATTTAGTATGTGTGAATGAGAACAGAGCAAAAAACATATTTATTGCAAGCAGGAATCCTCTAATAATCACCATAATAATTTTAAAAGAAGGGGAGTGTCAAATTCAGCCTGGAGTGTCTTTTAATAACTCGGAATGCACCTGTTACCCTTACACTGCATTTTATTTAACTCACACATACAAATCGGTTTGTTTTGTGTATAAGAAGCCAGATGTTTGATTTATATTGCCAGCTGCCTGCCTAGTAGCTGCGATATTATTATGTCTGTTCAGTTTCTGCCTACCAGAGGCTAGCGGTTACAATAGCCCTGGGCAAACACTATGTTTAAATTAATAAGATGCTTTAATGGAGAAAAAAAGGAAAGATGTAAGAGGCCTTCCCCGAATGGACAGTGAACGTCTGTGCACGCTTTCACGTATTTTTCTGTAATTTGTACTTTATCAAGTGTTGCTAACAACACGTGTAAAAAAATAAGACAATCCACAACATTTTTGCAGTATTTAGTCATTCAAAGGATACTACTGTTTGATTTACAAAGAAAAAAATGAACAAGTATATTTTAAGTGGTAAACAAATATATAAACGATACATAAAGACGAACTATCTTGGAATTTTATCTTTATCTTTAAATGCTTATAATATAATTTCTACATATGTTACTGCATTTTTCTTTAACCCCTTAAGGACCAAACTTCTAGAATAAAAAGGAATCATGACATGTCACACATGTCAAATGCATGACTTTAATTCAAAGGTACACTATAGAGTTAGGAAAACAAATGTGTATTCCTAATTTTATAACAAGACACAGGGGCTCATATCCCTTTCTTTACTGTCCACCAGTAGCAGCAAAGAATACAAAACAGTAAGAAAAAATGGCATACATAGTGATAAGCCACTCCCATACCAAGTTCCTGTATAATACTCAGCACCTCCCTACACATTTCCTCTTTCTTTGCTGCTCCACAGTCAGTTAAGTACCATTAATTGTGTCTCTTGAGACTTTGGTTGTACTAATTTTGTGTACTTGTGATTATTTGTCTGGGGATTTTAGTATTAACTTAACCTATGGGTTTACCTTGTAAAGACTGTTTGTGTACCTGTTTATTGTGTATTTACTTGGTTCTGTGCTCAGGGTCCCAGACCAGCTGGGGTTTTTGTCTTCCTCCTCTCACTTGGGGGTGTTCTCCTCTTTTCTATTCCTTTCTACTTCCTAGTCTATGGGTGCTTGGGTCTTGCCATTTCTGTCTCCCCTGCCCGCTGTACCGGGTCGCGGGGCCTTTTTGTAGTGTTTC